TGTCAGTCTGTCATGCTGTCAGTGTTGTGAAGTAACGAAGGAGTTGAGTTTTGTTGATTATAAATTGTGATGTTATGTAAAGGACTGGAAAATGAATGTGAAAACTATGGAAACATATTGGCAGAGTATTGTCACTTACTATCAGGACATATGGATAGAGAATACATTCAAATTAATAAGAAATGCCAAATATCAAGGTACTCAATCACTGATAGCAGTGGACTATCATATGTTTTAAGGTCAATTATATGAAAGTTAAGACTGAAACTACCTTTTACCCTCATCATACCTAATGAAAAATTGTGTAAAGAAAACATTCACAGCCTATTTGAAGCACTTAGACCACTAAAAAACATAAATTTTCACGTAAATATGTTGTGTCTCTTTCCCTCAAAACATCATATCGGATGGCGCCACTTTCGTCGACAGTTACTTATCTGCACGCAAATCGAGGAAAACGTGAATTGATTGACGTTTACGTGTTTCCAAATTTAAAATCACAGCATATTTAAACTTTTCAGTGTACCTTTTAACATCTAAGTATAACTAAAACGATAAAAACTTACCTTCAACACAAGGACGACGACAACCACGCGACCGGAGACGTCGCGACGAAATAAACAAACGGCGCCGCCAAATGAAAAATATTCTCCGATATGGGTAATGTGAAATTGAGTCGCAATCATTTTGGGTAGTATGAAAAATGCTCTTTCCAACAGAACCCTAGTAAAAAACGTGAATGGACAAAAAATAACTTTTATTTCGACATAAATAGTGGCCTGTTTTTAAGGCATCCTGGTATGCCGTAAGATTTCGACCTAGAAATTGGTGTTCCCCCAATCATTGAAGCTTGAGCAGTGAAAAATATGAAAGCCTAATCTGTTTTGCATCATTAGTGATTCTCCTAGGGTGTTGCCATTTCTCCCTAGGTGTTGCGAGTTGCTTTTGCAAAACGTGTTCCTGAAACGGCTCAATTTTTTGAGCCCCCAGCATTACGCCTATGGGAGCCGCGTATTTACAAATTGCAACCGAGCTCCGCCGTGGGGTAAGGTGGGCAGGGGTTTTCGCACTACGGCTGCGGTTGAACTACCGTCTGTGGTAGAAACTTCAGGACGATGGCGCGTTTCATACGAAATCTGGCGCAATGTTTGTTTGCTTCTGTACTTGTACTGTTATTTGCTGTGAATTCTTGAAGTGGGAGTGTTTCAATAACAATTTATGGATTATTTGAGTTTCTTTATATAAACATAATACTGATATGATCAATTACTTAGTTTGGGAAGTGATACACATTTTGTAGAGATTTGTCTGGCAAATGGTGTAACAAACCTCAAGCCTATCATGATCTGAAGCTGTTATAGGTAACATCAAAATTGCTTCAATGTTACCTTGTACCTTGTTGGAAAGACTGGAGCATGGTTCAAGATGATGCGTAAAAATTCAAGATTTGTGCGAAAGCTTGTGACTGAAGAACGAAAACAGTTTGATATGATGGCTCAATCAAACGTGGAAATGGACGACAAAAGTAGAGTTTCAACATTCCAGCATGTGAGAATAACTTCAGAAATTCATAGTTCTTGTAGTATTGCATTCTTCTTATGTACAGTTAATAGGTTTTGTTAGGGTATTTCAAATTCATTGTGTCAGTTGTGAGTTGAGACATAGATGGATTGCGGAAAGTTTTTTAGAATCATTGTATGGTACCTAGCTAGGTACCAACTTGTTTGGTAAAAAGGTATGTGCTGAATTCCATGAGAAGGTTTTTTATGATTTAATATATGGTCGTTGTTGTACCTACAAAAATGCAAGCTTACTAGCAACTAGTTTCTGAATCAAATCGAAAGTACCTATTTGCCATGAATGTAAATATGTACCTGCAAAGTATGTCAATAAATTTGTGTGATGTTGACCAGAGAGTTTTATCATCTGGGCATTTATGTCGCTTCCTACATTAGGTGTTAAGCATAGTAATTACGGATGAACTTTGTGCCAATATCTTCAATGCACATTGCACAATGTATTAGCATGTCTACAACCCTCACTGATCCTGCTATAGCTATAGGCATTTGGCACCAGCTTGACCAAGGGCATGAACTTCACAGTTGTACAACCTTTTGTTTTGTCATGTACCACCAGTCATTTTTTTGTGCACCAGTCACTTTTTTGTGCACCAGTCACTTTTTTGTGCACATAGCAGTGCACACAACAATGTGCAGAGGGCCTACACAAAAACATGATTAGTGTGCACTATGCACAGCATTGTACCCTGATTATTTGAATATTTTGACCACTCAACAGTCAACAGTCAGGAGATAATTATTTAATATCACATTTGTTATACATCACTTGTCAAACAATAGCATGATGACACACATTTTGACAAGCATTCATGGTAGTATTCCAATAAGTTGGACAGTCACCTCCCTGGGCGTCATTTTTCCGGGAAGGTACCTCTGCAGTGTTGTGGTAGGCTAGGTTGAATTGGGTTAAGTTAGGCGAAGTAAGGTGGTTAGGACCAGGTCAGACCGTAAGGCCTGGTCAGGTTGATTTTAATCTTTCACTCTAATTTGACATAGATACCTATTCCCTATGTTTTTGCTCCAGCCTGAATTTCATTAGGTAATGAGTTAATTTTGCTTTGTTTTTATCTGTCTTGTTTTGTGTTTTTGTCCCTTATATTTTGCCCCATAGGCAAGGGTGGATCTTTTCCAGGAAAGGTGGTGGAGCATGATTGGAGGCGCTCAACCAGACGGCATAGGAGGGCACGATTTCTGAACGCGCACTGATGCCTGATTCAAGCCACGCTGTCTTCATGCGGGGCGGCGCGCTACTTAAAAGTCCCTAAAAGAACGGGAAATGATGCCGATAGAACCTTCAATCATTCTGGGCTAACGCTTATGACTTGGAAAAAGTCGCGATCCCAATTCAATCGAAAACCTGTGGGCTCTTGTTCAGCAGGAGGTGTATGAAGAGCCACCCGCCATAACCCTATTCCTGGCGGGGGGGCCTCAGGAGCCCCCCCCCCTGAGGTTTTTTGGTTATTTCTCCCAAACGCGTTGAGCTAGGAAGCTCAAATTTTCTGACTTTTCCTAAAAGGCTTCTACGCAACATGTCTGAACATTTTGAGTTGATCTGACCTCAGGTCAGGTCACCAGAGGCGGTTTGGTGACCCTACCTCAGAAAAGTTTGCAATCACGCCAGAGCTAGAGTTTTTGACCGATCAATTTCTTCTCTTCAGGCTTTAGTTAGGGTACCAGTATGTGCAATTTGTATATCTCGGAATTTTGATATCGGTGACCTAAGGTCAGGTCAGTTTCGCGACCTCCCCATTATAAGTCAATGGGGGAAAAATCAACTCCCTGTTTTTACCACTAAAACGGGTCGGAATGGCCCCATATACCATACATGACTTCATATACGATCAACCTTCACTACCTTGAGGTCTGTTTTGCTGTTGGGCAGCTGTGAGGTCATGTGACGTCATCAAAGGTCACCAAAGGTTTTTGGCCAATAACTCCGTACAGGAACAAGATACAGACGCATGGATGGTCTCATTGTGTTCAGCTCGTCAAGACGCATCGAATGATATACATGATGACCTCGAGGTCACGTGACCTGAGGTCAACCTTTGACCTTGACCTTTCGAGGTCAACATATATATCATTCGATGCGGATTGACGAGAGGATCACGATGATGCCCTTAGTTTGTTCCTATCTTGACTAATTCGAAAGTTATTCGAGAAAAACTCTCTCCATATCTAGCGCCGCCATTTTGACTTTTTCGACCCCTGTGACGTCATCTTTGACCTGACCTGAAAATGACCTTAGTAAAAATTGTAGACCTTGTCCATGCGTATCCGATGCCGTTTACCGCTTGTCGCTATCTTGCTTCGTTCTCGAGATGTCAGGGGGGGGGCCGAATCGGCCCCCCCCCCCGCCAGTTTCTTGTCCCGGCGGAGCCCGCCAGGAATAGGGATAAGCACTGCTCAACCGCAGGCACAGGTTTAGACGGCGTTGGTCCGCATCAAAGCCAGTGTGCTGGAGAATTCATTGGCTGAAATGCTCCAGAACGTTCACCACTGTGTTTTTATGAAAGGTGGCTACAAGCTCAGTTAAAAGAAAAAGTACCAGATTGTTTTGCTTTTTAATTACAGCGGGAAGAAAGGTGTCCGGATAATTTCGTTACACCCCCTGTAATGTTTCAAATCCTTCTCCTATAATTGGGACAACACAAGAGCCCGTTGGAGGGAGGCCTGAATAAAAATAGTTGCTAAATTCGAAATCAGCTCCAAAAACTAGCCTAGAAACATGTAAAACTCGAAAAAGGAACCGAGGTCATCAAAGGTCATTGAGCTGACCTGACCTTCAGGTAACCTTGACACCCACCCTAATGCATGGGACCAGCATCATATCACATGTTTCAAACGCTTTGAAACCACGTGAAGACTGCAACCGCGCGGCTAATGCGATCCGACATACGCCGAATCGCGATTCGGGCCAAACATGGTCTCGAGAAATAGGTCACAGGTCAAAGGTCATTTAGGTCAGGGTCATGAAATTTCCAGGGTAGGTGGTAAAATTGATAAAATCGGGGGCATTGAAATTTTCGTCGCGATCGGACGGTTTTTACACGAGTTACTCACGAAAAACCGATAAAGCGCACCCAAAAAGGCAGAAATATGCACATGCTATATCCTATACTGCAAAAAAAGTGCATCATTTTTTAACGTCGCCGACAAATTGTAATTACCCTAAGCTCAGGCAGATGTATGGTAGAAAATGCCCCAAGTGAAATACACTACGGCGGAAATAAAATACCCTACGGCGGAGCTCGGTTGCAATTTGTAAATACGCATGGGAGCCTCTGACGTCACACGCTCAATATTTTGAGCGCTCAATAATTTGAGCTTTTCCCCCTTGTGCGTGGGACTGAAATGATTTGGATGCTTAGCTTCTTATTCCAAATATGGTGCACCTAATACAAACTTGAATTGTAAACAAGCGCGCCCGCCACACCCAGCGAATCGTGGAACTTGGAAGCTGACGCGATTCGGGCCTCTTTTTTGTTTTAGCAAGAGTATATAGGTTTTATCACGATTTTACTTCCAGTATTTGATTTTTTCACTGATACTTTTTCAGGCTTTAAATCTAACTAGATCTTTGATCTGCTTCTGCTATCATTATAAGATGCATGGGCTCGATCCATGGGCTACTATTATAAAGATGCAATACATCAAGCTTGTTTAACTTCTTTGCACAGAACCACATTTCAGTTTTCACCAAACGGAACGCAGCTACAGTCTACAATTAAACCTTGGCCGTGCTGTCCAGGAATCGGACTGGGCTAATTCTGTTAGTGCTTCAATTACTTTATTATGAAAAGTGATTATTTAACTAAATTTATTCTGAACATTATTGGAAGGATTCACAAGTATGGAGCCCTCGCTCAGCGAAGCTTGTTGCGTTGACCCTGCAGTGCCCTCTACCTTGTGATCGAGCAATCCCAGTTTTATGGCAGAATTTAGAGTTCAACGCACAGGCGGTCTCTGCACTGAGAGCCTGGCTACAGCCTGCCACAAACCACAACCATGACCTGTGAGGACTTGAGTCCATAAATGTCAAGCGCCCATCGCGCTTCGAACCTGCACTGTTGTAACCGGGAGCACGTGCTCTCACCTCACCACGCGGAGTCTGATGCTCTACCGACTGAGCTACGGGACCGGCATATAAGTTTAAGTGTTATTTTAAAGGGAGATGAAACTTTGATTAATAAATCCTACCTTCCACCTTCATTTTTCCAGATCATGTCTGAGAAGATTGGCCAGATAAAGGGGGAATCTTCTGTATTCTTCCTCTGTGATGTCCAAGAGAAATTTCAGCCGGTTATAATTCACTTTGATAACATTGTACAGACATGTTGCAAGCTGGTAAGCATCAGAAAACCCATTAACAAATAACAGACAGGGAGGCTAGGCAAAGTTCTGCATTTCCTTTAGAATTGCAGAATGCTATCAACACCTGCCTCTGTTGCTTCAGATTCAATGCTTGTGTTTTAGGCTTTAATTTTGCAGTGTTGGGTGTCGTAAAATTCTACCTTCATTTGTTGATTGTGTAGCTCATGCTTCATCCTGAACGGTTTATAAATGCATCCCAATATTTTTAAGTGTGGATTAACCATGTTTTATGTTTATCGATGTCTCATTCACTTTTGTCTGCAGTTGTCTGCAGGAAAGATCCTGGAGGTTCCACTGCTGGTGACAGAACAGTACCCTAAGGGCCTGGGAAGACCGTGCCTGCCCTGGACGTCGCCCACGCCAGGGTTGTTGCCGAGAAGACCCGTTTCAGCATGCTGGTGCCGGAGGTGGATGCAGTGCTGGAGAAATTGGCACCCAAGGTGGTCGTCATTATGGGAGTTGAGGTAGGTGTGTGAAAGGAACCTTCCTTTGTAAGGTTATGTGATTTCCCCAATTGTTTGAAAGGAATGAACTTCAAAACAATGCTGATTGAATGGACTGCAAAAAATGTTATTCACCCTCGCCCATATCTTTGTTTTGCCAGCCGTTACGGTGCAGGGCCGCTGTACACGGGGGGGGGGGGGTCCGCTGGATCTCCCCCTGCCGTTCGGCCCCTGATTGAACTAGAGCTTCGCGGAAAAAGGATCGTGCTGCCCGTTATGAGAAGGAATCCAGTGATTCCAAATTTTAAGGTCCTAGGTCATTGGTCGGCCTTCCAGGTCAGGTCAACGACTCAAAAGCCGGGAAAATCGGGACCTGATAGAAGTTGTTACAGACAGGTTGTTACGTTTTGGGGGTCCTGATTTCAAATTTGGTTTTTATTTTGATTAAAAATGAGGTATTCATGCATTTGGGACTGGTCAGGTCAACTGGAAGGCGTCCCGCCGGCCATCTATGGTGGATGTAACCTGTAAACTGCGACTGACAGCTTTGCAACATTTTGCATAGGCATCCGAACTTCTTCTCACTTCTCAGCTATTCGAACTAGTGCCGACTGCCGAATTCGACACCAGTTAAAAACTACCTGAAAAGGCCTTAAAACTTGAAAAAGTCACCTGAGTTCGCCAAATGTTCATGACCTTGACTTGACCTGACCTTCAAGTGACCTTGACAACCATCATAATGCATAGGACAATCCTCATTTCACATGTTGGCACTTTCACTGTCACAAAATGTCTGGAAACGCACGGATAATATGCGCCGACATACGGTGAGCCGCGATTCCGGCCTGACAAGATCTCGGGAAACAGGTCACAGCTCACAGGTCAAAAATTGTTTGAGTTATGGTCATGAAACTTTCGTGGTATGTGTAAAATTGAATAGTACGAGGGTACTGAAAGTTTCGTCGCGATCAGCCGCGTTTTTCGCGAGTTATTCGCGGTTTTTCGTGAGTTATTCGCGAAAAAAAAACAAGAGGTCCAGCCTGCCCTCTCCCTAAAACTGCGAGGGTCAAAACACTTCGTGCTTGTTTACAGTTTTTGCTATCTGCAGGCCGAACTGTTACCCGTGGCGAAATCGGACCACGTGCCACAGAAAGACTGTAAACGTATTGAATTACAATTCTGTTTAGTCTAAATCACACGTAGGTATCGCTAATCTGCGATGCAGCGTAATAAGTTTCCGAGCAATCGGCTCAAAGTTGCACAAAATTGAACTACCCGCCTACCGGTGATCTCTACTAGTACCTAACATGACCTCCAGGCTCCTATAGGGACTGGGCCTCGTTTCATAAAGTGAGTCCGTAACTTACGCCGGTTTTTGATCTTGTATTGCAAGTGCATGTGAAGCGATGACGATAGTTTGAATCGTTGAATTTATTTATCTGCAAGCAAGAACAGAAGGGAGAAGGGAATACATTTATCGCCTCACATGCGCTTGCAATACAATCCCAAAAACCGGCGTTAGTTACGGACTCGCTTTATGAAACGAGGCCCAGGGCCTGAATCGATGCTGAAGTCAGTTTACCAACAGAAAAATCGTCAGTTGTGGTTATTTTTAGGCATTAAAGTCGTCGGCGAGTTTCACCAGCCCCCCCCCCTTCCCAAAAAAAACAGCGGCGTAACACTATCAGCCAGCCTCGTGGGCGTAGGGACCTCACGAAAAGTGTGTGTGGGGGGGGGGACAGCGAAAGTTCGATGTCACTTTGTTGGAGCCCCAATACCCCTATGAAGAAAATACTTCAGTCTTGTGCTCATCTCACCTTGCTGAACCATTTCCTGCTCTTAATTTGTATTCAAATAAAAAAGATTTTACTTTAAAAGTGGCCGAAAGTGGGGGGCCAGGGCCCATGGCCCCCGTCCCCTCCTGTTCCTACGCCCATGGCCAGCCTGACTGGTCTAATTGTCATAGCAGCGGTCACGTTTTCCTTACTAAAACTGCGGGCGATCCTTAGAAGTTCGAACTAAAAATAGCCGAAGCTGGCGATTTTTCTATTCGCAAAACTGGCCATGATAAATGTAATTAGAGTAACCTGGCAAGCCAAACTTATCCGAATACATTTCCATTGATTTTGAAGAGGCTGTACTGCCAGTGCCAGTTTGCACCAATGCCATAGCCACAGGCACGCTGTCCGCTGACGGCCGGAAGTGGGTCGCTCTCGCAGGCGCACGTGTGTGTGGAGCAGACGGCCACTGAGCTTGTGCAGCGCGGCTACACCGTGCACATAGTGGCGGACGGCGTCAGCTCGCGGTCTCAGGAGGACCGCCTGCTGGCCCTGCAGGTGAGGGGAGGGGCGTCAGGGTTCCCGGGGGACGGCTGGTGAGAGAAGGGCGTCAGGGTTTCCAGGTGGGGGGGGTCGGGTTCTCAGGACCGCAGCTGGTGAGGGAGGGGAGGATCTCCCTTCACCTGATATCTTAGAATACCATCTCGATATATGTTGTGTGCACGTCTGCTCCCGCCGGTACTTGCTCCCCTCTAATCCCTTTCGACTGTTGTGCGGGCAGCGACTCCGTCAAATCGGCTGTTTCATATCCACCAGCGAGTCCATAATCTTCAAACTGCTGGGCGACAAGAACCACCCCAAGTTCGCAGAGGTGCGCGGACTCGTCAAACAGACCTCACCGGACACGGGGCTCGCCAAGATTTAGGGAGCCGAGCGCCGACCGCGCGGTAGATGGAGCCTGTGTCACTGCTGGGTCGAGAAATCGGCGATAGTCATGGACGGCACTGTGGGTAGCCGATGGATCAAGAAACTCGGAAAGGTGCGAGTCGATAAGTGCCTGTGATTCATGGATACATTACATATTTGTGATTTTGTATTGTGGTATTTAATAGAGAACGTTTCACTGAGCGACTGGTCGTGTCGGTTTAATGATTGTATTTTGTCATAGCTGATGCTCTGAGATACCGTGACAATTGACATAGATGCAATAAACAAACGCTGTGTACTATGAATTAATTTGTATGCCGCCGACATTCGTATCCCAGATGATTTGGGGTCTGTGCTCTAAGCTCTTGTATCTTTGCACGTCCAATGCTACCATTTATCGATTTTTTACAGCTTTTTTTCATTGTTTTGTTTTATTTACATTTCTTTCACTGTATTCGGATACCCTGATTTCCATAGGTGGGTAGGGCTAGACAGACCGAGGAAAAGTGGTTCGAGAGCGTCGTCCAGGGTTGTGCTCGACTAAAAAAAAATTGCCGACTCATCATTCAACTTCAGAAAGCCCTAACTCAACTCTGACTCAAACAAGGAGCTGATTTTTTCCCTTGACTCGACTAATGACTCAAGCGGCTCAATGAAAATATGAGTTGACTCAAACTTGACTCAAATTTTTTTCTGAGTCAAGTGTATTTACTCAAAATTGACAATTGACTCAGATAAAAAGTTGTTGAGCGGGGGGGGGGGAATCCGGCAGCAGGGCCAGGCCTAAGTTGTTAAGCGGGGAGAACGAAAAGCTTACCTGTATATTGTTTCTGGAAAGATGAGTCAGCTGACTCATGTTCCTAAATGTTTTTGACTCAACTCAATGTCAAAAGTTATTTTACTGATTCAACTCTGACTCAACTAAACACCTTAATATTTTTGTCTGACTCAACTCTGACTCAACTCAACAGCTCAACATTTTATCCGACTCGACTCATACCTGACTCATCTGAGTCGGAGTTGAGTCAAATCTCTGACTCGACTCATGAGTCAGGCACAACCCTGGCGTCGTCATATTTGCGTGAGAGCTGTGCGAGCAAGCTCGTGGATGCTGAAGCTGCACGGCACAGTTGAACCTGCGACAGCTCACTTTTGACACGGATATTGCACTCGCCGTGTGCATACTTTTTTTGCGCCTGCTCTATTGTAGTGAGAGACAGCGCAAGAAAATCACAGCAAGCAAAAGCGAATTGGAGAGGCCTGTATCTGCTCTCCGCAATCATCCGTTATTTGATCTTGCAGCAATGGATTCCCGATGCTCTCCATGAACGGAATTGCGATTAGCGTGCAAACATTTTGTAACAACTCATAGCATTGCTACTGAATCCAGAAACGGCTTTTCATCTTCAATCAGAGCAAATGTACTTACTAATTGATGTCGAGTCGTAAGATGAGGCCCCGGAGAGATAAATCGGTCCCAGGGTATATTAATCGGTCCCACATCAAGTGCCGATAAACGAAAAATAAAAGCTCGAAATTAAAATGCACGAACCGCTGACCAAGATCGCCATTCTGTCAGTGTTTGCCCACAGTATCGCGGTTTTTAGTGACCGCGGTGCATATTAGTCATGGGAGTTGTCGCCGTGACCGGCTTTGTCCTACTATATTTAGCAGCGGCGGATCGTACCGGTCTGAGCGGTTTGAGGCGCGCCGGGATGGCCGCTTTCCTAGGAGCGCCGCCGTGAAATCTTAGCACAGCCCCGCTGGGAGCGGCGCATATTTACGTCTGGACAACGAGTTGCGGGGAAAAGTGCTGATTGTGTTGCAGTTTTAGGAGCCGGTGATTAGGCTGGATTTTTGGGTTACTTTTTCGTTCCGATTCATATATTTCATAGTGTTTGGCTTTTTAATATTTTAGTTCTTTCAGATAAATATTACTTGCCTTACAACTTTTGTAAAAACGTTTCATTTTTTATAAGCCGACGTTCAGAGTCCTAAAAATACGTCAGCACTACAATCATTGTAAACAAACAAATTGAATTGAAATGGAGCACCACTTGGCTCTGTTCCAAGGCCATTTTTAAGTTTATCTGGTGGTTTTCTTGCTCTTGTACGTCGTTTTGTTGGATGTTTTGAATCCCTAAAGATTGACTTATATCATATTTAAGAAACATGTTGACTGAAAACAATCTAAAGTATCCAGGAGGCTGACAGAGGTCCTGACTCCTGAGCAATATCAATATCAAGTTGAACAAGTTATGAAATTTTGGTTGATAAACGCAAGTTGATCGGGCTCATATATCAGCAAGAAAAAGTAAAATTAAAAGAGCTTATTGGCCAAAAACAAGCTATCATATTGCAAACCTTGGAGCAATACTGAAGAGCACACTGAGCAGGATCATGCCAGAAAATGTTGACTGATGAGCGCATATTGATGTATTGGCATGAATATTGAATGATAACTTACAACAGCAAGATAAATTAGTGCTAACTATCAAGTTAAAATCTAGAATAAATGGACTTGGGCAGTTTTACTATGCTTAGATGCTATGCAGATTGTAATGTGCATCAGGTACTCAGTGTCTGGCAAATGAAACATGCGATCATTTCATTGCTACTGGAGGAGAAATCTTGGATCACTAAATCCACTTTATGTTGATTTTGATGTTAATCATCATCACTGTATTTCTTGAAAAAAGGATTGTAGTAAAATTGTCAATGTGACAATCCATGCAACGATGTGAAATGTGTTCATAGTCATTCGTGATAGTGATTGTTGGTCCAATATACAATGGGAAAGCTCTCAGTCTCAGCGTTTCTTCCTGTGGTGGATGGCCAGCACTCAGCAGTGACTCAGAGCTTAGAAGTATTAGTTTTCTTCACAGGGCTGGGATAAAAAGTACTGAGGGTAATCTTCCACCAAGGAACTCTACTTTGACATGGTATGATATGTAGGCACAAGTAGGTAGGTGCTCAGTTCCTATAGTCAGTAGTTGTGTATGTTTAGTCGGGTTAGCTTAGATCAGATTGTTAGTTTTTTAATTTACCAAATGTCCATAAAAATGTGACCTGAGCAATGAGCATACCTGAACCTGACTAACCTGACAGCTGACCTAACCTCAATCATCACATATTTGCAGCCTACCCAAGACCTGCATGGCAGTTGCACCCAGTTATAGGTAGGTACTCACCCTAACTCAATCTTACCTGCTAACCTTCAACTTGCCAAAAGTTAGCTCACATTGCCAAGCTGCATCCAGGGAAACAGTCAATTGAGGAACTGGCTCATTGGTGGCTGGTGTGAGTCTGTGCATTTAAAGTGTTTCTTCTCTGAAGCTGCTCTGCACTGCTGTATGTCATGTTAGATGCTCAGAAAATGTGGGAAATGATTACTAAGCTACTTTAGTGCTTTGTTAATGCTCGAGACATGAACAAGTACAGATCCTGCAAGGTACAGCTATGAGTTAGGTGCTAGGTGAGTATGTTATGTGAATGTGCTGTTCCCTGTTTGACCGTAAGTATACAGACAAGCACAGGGTCACAGTTATATTCAATCTCCACATAAACATACAACAAAAACGGCCATATAGCCTAACTCTGAACACACCACAGATAACTTAAGCCTTTGCAGGCACACAAATGTTTTGATTAACAGGTCAGGTATAAAATATCCTCTGTCCTTGGGGGGATCTTGCTGCCAAGTTGAGATACAATGACTGAACTCCAGGATTAATCAACCTTTTCTTAGCCACTATATACGAGAAAGACCAAATGCTTGTTTGTTTTGATTTACAGGACAGTATACAATATATCCTCTGTCACTGTCGCTCACGCCAACACAGACATAGACAGCGCTCGTTTTCAAACAGATGTGTGCATCTCTGGAACAGCCTACCACCAGATGTTGTTAATGCTCCAGACCTTCAGTCATTTAAACATGGATTAGTAGGAGCTATTCCGGATAGACTCGTCGAGTATATGTAAGTTGTATGATGAACACTTTTTTTACTATTTGCTATTCTATTGTAAAAACACGATGTAGTCAATGTTAGTCTAAATGGTGGCGCAACACTCCAGTTATGTGCGTGTATGCTATGACGATGTATCCTGAGATTGTCAACTGGCGCGCCATATTGATATGAAGCAGGGTTCCTCCCGTCCTTCCATCCATCGAGCCTTTTCCTTGCCGACTGGTGGTAGTGGATGGAACCCGACAAGGTGAGTTGACAAGGTGAGTTGTCCTTGGGGGATCTTGCCCAAGTTGAGGTACGATGACTGAACTTCAGGATTGATCAACCTTTTCTTAGCCACTGCTTATAAACGAGAAAGACCAAATGCTTGTTTGTAAACTGCGTTGAAAATTTAATGATCCACCTTCAATTCTGACATGATGGCACACATGAAATAGTTCCCTCTCCTTTTGGAATACACAAAGCAAAATATTTAATAAATTTTAGTGGATGGACAAGATCAATTAGCATAGCCTTCCATCAAGTTAACTTCTGGCACTGATGATGATTTACACTGACGCTTATTCGCTTCATATTTTGTAACAAACGCGCTAAAACTGCAATATAACAGCACTAAATGCTTCTTGACAAAATGCAATAGTAGTAAATTTAGCCCTGATGACATTCATTCTTGATGGAAACGTAATAACAAAATATTTTGTAGTAACTATTAAATTCCGGCCCAAAACAGTGCACGGTTTAAAAAAGAATCATTCCAATGACGGTCCATTCTTGCGGTCCTGAAATCGCCACTATTTCCGGCCTCTCCAACGCAACTCGTTGTCCAGACGTAAATATGCGGGAGCGGCCGGCCGTCTCGGCGGTCGGCCGGCGGCCATAAAATACTCCGGTCCGCGGTCCGGCCGGCCGTGGTGAGCCAGAACACAACTGTATCTTCTCAATCCTAATCGGTACGAGCCACTCTGCTATACTCGACCGTACGACTTGGCCATCTTCGACGGCACGGGTGCGTTGACCCTCGCCGGCACAGGGGGGGGGGGGTTGATGCACCCCCCCTAAGGTTTTTCGCCAATAACTCGCGTAAAAAGCAGCCGATCGCGACCGAAACTTTCAGTACCCTCGCATTGATCAATTTCCCACCTACCCTGAAAATTTCATGACCCTGACCCCAATGACCTTTGACCTGTGACCTCTTTTCCGTGACCATGTTTGGCCGAAATCGCGATTCGGCGTATGTCGGCTCGCATTAGCCGCGCGTTTGCAAGCTTTTCGTGGTTTCAAACGTTCAAACATGTGATTTGATGTTGTTCCCATACATTAGGGTTGGTGTCAAG